TGGTATGAAGAAGAGATTGAAGAAAACTTGAGATGGTGCTTTGCTCTTAATGGGTATTAATTATTTTCCATTTATTCGTGTTAATTAATAATTTTGATGGCAAGAATTTATTCAACTTATATCTCAACATTTATCCCCTCTTTGATTGGCTAAAAAAATTTAAGTTAAAGTTTACAATTAAGTTTAAACACTCGTTTCAAGAGATTTTACAATTTTTTCAACTTTTCAATCACACATTTCATCAACTTTTATACAAAACTATCAACTTTTTTTATTATTTTTATTTTTTCTCTAGCAAACGGATCTCCACTTATTTTAAGAGTTCTTTGAGTTTGCCAAGGAAATGGGGTGTCAAGTATTTTAGTAGGGGATTTTCCGTACACCTTTTTCCCAAGTCTTGTCCATGAAAGTTCAGACAGGATTTGACAAAGGAAAGCAAAAAATGAAATCACAATTCCAAGTTTTTTTTTTTTTTTTTTAAATTCAAGTCGGGTCGAGGTGTTTCAATATGGTGCTCAACAAAGTAAATAAAGGTTCTTAGCTTCAACAAGGTCGCCACCAAATTATGAAATGTGCGTGAGCGCATGAGGTCTTGGATTAAATATGAATTTATGGTGGAAATGAAGGGACTTGTTACAAACCAAATTTGAATAAATAAAATCTGTGAACTTTTCTGTTTTTTAGGCTTTTAAACGAGGTACTTGAACTATAATTATTCTGAACGAAATTTGATTTCAGAAGTCCAAACATTCTTCATATTCTCCTTTTTTTGCTCCAGAATTTTGCACACAGGTGCCACTCAATTCCAGGATATTCAACTTCTGGACACTAAGCCCTTTGGAAAGGTAGAAATTTCTTCTCAATATTACAGAAAGGAAATATTTTTCAATAATAAATATGATATATGCTTCTTTGATTATTCTGAAATCTGTTTTTGATTAACACTGCAGGCCCTAGTAATTGATGGAAAGCTTCAAAGTGCAGAAATAGATGAGTTTATCTACCACGAATCTCTTGTTCATCCTGCACTTCTTAATCATCTAAAGTAATTTCTCCTTAAAAGTATAATTTACAATCTTTTTTAATCAATTCAGAGTTCATAACTACATCTCTCAAGACTTGTAAACCTCTTTCGAGGATATCCCAACAGGCGGGTTGGTGAAGAATTGATGAAAAATTAAGGGAATGACAACTTAGTGGTTCGAACATGTTTTGCATAGGAATAAAAAGACTTCACCTCTCCTAATGATTTGATAGACTTATGTCTTCTGGTAGGCGAACAGAGTGATGGAGACTTGGCCACCTAAATTCATTTGAAAGATTGCTTAGTTTGCTGCTGTTATATAAATATTAACCTATTTTTTAATGTTCATGCAAAATTTTCAGTCCAAAAACTATTTTTATCATGGGAGGAGGTGAAGGTTCCACTGCAAGAGAAATACTCAGACATAGGCCAGTGGAGAAGGTTGTCATGTGTGACATTGATGAGGTGAAAACAAAACCCTTTCCTTATTTCTGATCATCACAGCTAATTTTTCCCTTTCTATTTAGAAAACATTAAATTAAATAAAAAATTATTTAAGAGAACATAATAATTTTTGTACAACTGCTGCTGCAGGAAGTGGTGGAATTTTGCAAGTCATACTTGGTGGTTAATAGAGAAGCTTTCAGTGATCCTAGACTTGAACTCATTTTCAATGATGCCAGGTAAAAGAATACACCAACTGCAATTTTTTGAACATAACTCGGGCTGGATGGAAATTGGCCCTCGAGAATAGTAGCAGAAGGGAGGTTGATTGTAAGACCCACTCATCCAATAGGGAGGAGTCAGTCTTAGAGATCTGATGGTGCCGAGTGAATGGGCCATCGGCTTTCGAATTTTTTTTATTTTATTTTTTTCAATATAATTTCTTCTTTCTTGTAACCACTTCTAATTGTAA